GAATAGTTGGCATGCAGGTGTGAAAGAAATGTGAAAATCCTGAGCTGCACTACCAATGTGGAGGTGATCACCTAAAGCAGCATAACAGAAGCACAGAACTACATAGGCCATTTTTCATTCATCAGTATAGTAGCTCCGTACTTCTAGTACATACTTGTAGCACTGAAACCTCCTTGAATATTTCTATACTTTAATGCCAAGGCACAGGCTTTTTCCTAACCTGTATTTACATAAATTTATATTTAGAAATCACATTTCTGTATCAATTAGGCTAACAGTACAAATAATTTACTTACATGACAATGACGTTAGCTGTACTTGAATGTTCTTTCAGCAACTCGTTTAGCCTAATCTGGCGATAAGTCTGTAATTAAAAAGAAACTTGTTAGGAAGACCTTTTGTATAAACTACAAAAAGTTCATTTAATCAAGAAAAATGAAAACCAATTATGATCAATTGGTATGAGTCATTTATAGAAAGCATGCACTTCCACCTCAGTTTGGCAACTTGTACACTCTTCCAAAATACCTGTTGTTGTAAGGCTGGAGGAGAAGGAAGCAGTAAATGTGCAAACAAGACAAGTACTGTGAAAGCTAAATTTAAGATAGTTCATCTAATAATGATGCCATCCTCCATAGGTCCTGGAAGCAAGAGCCCCTTATGCTCTCTTTAAGGTTCTTCTAACTATATCCTATAAACTCAGTGAGCAGGTCTTACAGAAGAGAAGCCCCATCTTCATTTGGTAAGCCTATGCCCATAATGGGCCTCCTTTTTTTACTACCCTGCCCTGTCTTAACATCTAAGGTAATCCTCAGTAATTTTCAGTTCTCTTAATGTTTGCTAGAAAGTTAGCTGACATAAGTTAACCATTTCCTATAGTTCTGTTGTTCTCAGATGAGCTGAAGTCTAGTTTGCCTGCAGATTAGTGACTGCAGAAACAACTGTTATTCTTAAATAACAAAGCAAACAAAAATTAGTTTGCTAAAAAGTCAGATAGATGAGTACAGACTGCATTACTCTAAATTAAGTGATGAAATACTCTAGAGGAAAAGTTTAGGTCTCCCCTTCTTCCCTGAATGCAGAAATATTTTTTATTTTTTTTGGTGAGCCATCTAAATGGTTTCAGATGGTGCTTTTTATCAACTATTGAGAACAACAAGCATGAACTTACTGATATCACATCCACACTCAAATGCAGTAGGAGAAAAAAAAACTTTAACAACATTTAACATAACACTCTAAAGAACCTTTGTTTTATAAAGCTCAAGTTCATTATCTGTTATCCTCCATGGTTCATCCTCCTTCATTTTCTCTGCAACTTCCTGTTCTTTATCATCTTCATGAAGTCGGAAGGGTTCTATCATTTCTTCAAAAGCTGCAATACTGGAATGGTTAAGTGAACAGCCATATTAATACAGATATGAGTCTGTATGTAAGCAATGACTTTCATGGTATCAGAAAGTATTTTACATGGTAACAAAATAAGTGAACTGATCTTTTCTCACTGCCAACTGCAGCTAGAACATCAAACCAGCTATTTGTATGCACACACATTATAATTCAACAATTAGGGACATCTGTAAGTTTTCGCTGTTCATCATGCAACTAAATTTAAAGTTTTAGCTGGTTGAAAAACCTAACCACATTTGATAGAGTTTTACTATAATTGTTTGAAAGTTGAGTACTGCCTTAGAAAATGTATAGTAACAATATCTTCTTCATAATTAAATCTGAAAGGAGTATACACAGTAGCGATCAAGTCTCATGCTAGTGCCATTAGTATTTTGGCTTTGATATTTTTATTTTATTCCTTTTTAATCTTTCCAATACAGTCTGTGAGCCACATTCAAATGCAAATAACCACAGTCATCTTGTTTAGTCTACCTGTTACACTTGTTATGAGTATGAGGTGTTAACTTCGCATTTACTTGGACTGTAGCAAGAACTTCAAAAGAAAACCTCCTGAAGACCAGAGGCATTCATTTCTACTAGAAAGATCAACTTACACTACCGTACTTTCTCTATACACATTAGGATACATGAACAAAAAGCAAAGGCTGCCCCGACTCATGAAAGTAACTCGTCTTTGAATAGCCCCAGCATGTAAGATGTAAGGAAAACAAACAAGACTTTTAGCCAAACATACTGAATTGTATGCCTTAACATCCAGTGGAATAACTGCATTTGATGCTCTTTGAGTATTTTTTTCATAAAGATGACAAGGTATTGTCAATCTCCTGTACTTTCAAATTACAGTGTGGAAAGTTTAACAAGCATTAAGAATACCTCTTACAACATATTGTAGTATCAGTATGTGTAATGTACAGCTTCCGTATAGTTAAACTCAGCCCCCATTCCCACTTTCTAAACTGAAGTATTCCTGTTCCTCCATAAAACCTCCACACTACTAAAAAAACATCTTTTTTTTTCTATCCTTTGTAGGCTTTACTGAGGTTGGTAGAGACCTTCCTCAAAGGGAAAAAAATAAATGTGATCTACTATTTTTTTTTTGGCTGAACAAAAAGGAGAAATATTAACAATACTCTCTTATACAGCAAAGCTCAAAAATAAATCATCTTCCTCCACTTAGTTTACAGCTATTTTATAATGCTAAGTCTACAAGTTACACCAGCAGGCACCCAAGAGCAAAGACATCCAAAAGCATGAGTGCAGAAGTACCCTACTGATAGGAACATCAGTTTTGTGTCTTTACAAAAGAAGCCTGTGCACACCCAAACTCAAGACAAGGGACAAAAGAAGCCTGTGTGAACCCAGACTTAAGATAAGAAAGAATACCTTGAACTACATGATTCCTTGAATATGTAAATTACATGAATATCTGGAATATCTAAGCAACATTATCCCCTGAATGTGTTAAATGTATTAACTACCTGAATATCTGGAATATTTAAATTACATGATCCCTTGCATATGTTAAACCACCTGAAGAGCTGGAATATCTGAATAACATGAATATCTTGATCATGTCAAAAGAACATTTTGTCTTGCAAGTCTCAGGCAGATTAATTACATGAATATCTGGAATATCTAAGCAACATTATCCCCTGAATGTGTTAAATGTATTAACTACCTGAATATCTGGAATATTTAAATTACATGATCCCTTGCATATGTTAAACCACCTGAAGAGCTGGAATATCTGAATAACATGAATATCTTGATCATGTCAAAAGAACATTTTGTCTTGCAAGTCTCAGGCAGATTGAGAAGTCTGTACACTCAGAGTACCTCAGCCAATGGGGAAAGGAGGAGGGTCTCTTGTGGTCGGGAAAAGTAGGATAAAAGGGGGCTGTGTCCCTCTGTAGGTTGACAGACCCCACAGGAATATGTCCTGTGGACTCTCCCTTTATCCAAATAAAGTTTTATTATTATTTTTTACAGGACTCGTCTGTCTCCTTTGTGAACACTGACTCCTGGTAGCGTGATTTTCCGTACACTACCATTTTAGTGGCTTGACATATTCTGCTCATTTAAACAAAGGTGATTAAAAAAAGTATATAAAAGAATACACATTAGCATTTACACTTTAAAGAAGTTGTAAACCAGCATTTCCTAATCTGACATGTTGAATTATTCAAATACATGCATATCCATGTAAAAGATAAGTTTACAACTTCAATATACTTAAGACGACTTAAAGGGAAAGGACCATAATATTTTAACACCTTCACTTATACTTAAAGCCATCTGCAAATACTTTTTGAATTTGAAAATCAGAAATGTCACATGTATGATCATTCCCATAGAAATTAAAAGTTTAATTAAAAAAGAAAATTTATCAGGCTATTTGAAAACCAATCTTTGTTACATTAAACTAAGACTCTAATTAAGATAAATTTTTGTGAACATTTCTTTTTTTAAAGAGGATTGCTCTAAACAAAACTGATTTAAGTTGTGTTTTTCTAAATTTTAGTATTGCAGTCTACAGGTCAGATTTAAAACATACAAATTTCTATATTCTTGGATGTAGGAGTTATTGCTCAATTTATTCCTGCATTTTCATGCATCACTGGATGTCATACAAACTACTCTATCAAAACGGGTAGTAGGAAAGAATCAAGTAAGAAATTAATGAAAGGCATCAAGAATTAAGCTATCACACAAGCTGGAGGGTTTTTAAGACTTACTTTTCCTTCTTCGGCTTAGTATTAATATCCCCAAGAACCATAATATCCGAGAAGTCTATCCGAAATTTGCTGAGTAGAGTAGCCATCCTGTGTCAGAAAAATAACACTTTATGCACGATCAGATTTTTATTATTTCCTACAGTAAACAGGTGTTTGGTAATAACTACACTAGTTTAAGAATAGGATACGGGGAAAAAAAAAAACCATCAAATTGCCTGGGCATACGTATATAAATCAACACGCTTTTGAAAATAAAAACATTTTAAAACCATAAAACTAAGAAAAGAGCTCTCCCTTAATGACAATTGCAGGAAATATTTCAAAAAGAAAGTGTTAAGTGTCAGACAATGCTGCAGAAAAATTAGTTTAACTTGGGCTATCTCATACAAAACAATCTGGGGGAAATGGAACTGTTTTTGGAGTAAGGGAATAGAATATGCTTATACCTCCACCAAAGAACAATTGAAAGAAGGCTACTAGGATGAGAAAGTCAACGACCATGTAATATGCTTTATTAGCATTTGAAATTAAATACCTAAAGGTAAACTTACGCTCTTCTGTCATGATCAATCCTGTTTATTTTTCCACCAATAAACACTCTGATCTTACAGTCTTTCCACTTCTTCTTGGTTGTAAGAAGATATGGAATCAACAGTGTCAAACCTGCATTTTGATCAAAATTTGGAAATGATTCAGAAAACACAGCATCATGTTATTTAATCATATGAATTCGTAATCTCTATATTGAGCTGACTGAAAGATATCTATTATCAATTAATTCAAAATCACTAATTTTTTTTCCAACATTTGTTTTTGAAGTAGAAAGCACATTACCTCCATCATCAAAGAGCCACCAGACATCAATGTTGCTTTTGCCTTGTTTCTTCTGAAACTGAGTACTAGCATCAAGAAGTCTTTGGTCAGCCAAGTTTAAAGGGGAAGATAGGCTCTTTGAATCTGGAAGAAAGTATGATAAAACTTCATTTTTAAGTACTTTCCTTAATCACCCTGAAATACATCAAATGCAACTTCTTAATATATTGTGATATCTCTGAGTTAAAAGAAAAATAAATTGTTCCTTCTCCTCCCAAACCTGAATCCAAATTTTGAGTGAATGGATATAAACTGAGCTGACTCCCTAAGGAGGCTGCAACTCGTAACTGCAGCAGTTAAAGATTTAAATCAGATGTCTGACAAATAAAGGATCTGTAATGGATCTGCCTGGATAATTTCAACTAACCTTGCATACATACTTCAGAGCATTCGTCATGCACTGTTGCTACCCCTTTCATATGATAAAACTTTCCTAAAAACAGATAGCTACTAATTTACAAATAAATACAATGTCTTAGGTACATTTTTCTTTCTTTAAATACCTTTTTCTTTAAGGACAGTGAAAATATAAGCTATTTCTGAGTACTGGAAAGATATCTTTTGCAATAAGTACTGTTACTCATGCGCAAGTCTGTGAAGCGCAATTTAAACTATTTTGCATAAGATTATTATTACATTTGCTGAGAACAAGACAATAATGGCTTTTTCAATTAGATTAATACAGCTAAGTATTTTGACTAGTCCCTTTCCCTTAATTAAAACCTTAGCTTGAACTAGAGCCAGGAGTTTGATATTCATCGCAGTCCTTATTTTATGAAGAATTTTCAGAGTACATCTGTGACTGATTTACACGAATATACACTCTACTGCATACTGGAACTTCTTCCAAACTGCCGTCCTGTGCTTTAAGATGTAATCTCACAATCCATTATTAAAATACAACAGCTTCTAACTGCAGAAACTACTAAGAAAATGTCAAAAAAGTTAGATGAATCTTACTTACGGCAAATATATTTGTGTAATTGAGAAAGTCTGAAATAAACCAACTGAAAACTTCTCAATTCTGTTTATTTGAATGGCTACTTTGCATTACTTCAGATGTTTAGATGTTAATCTCACAGAGTGGCTATATTATGCCTTAATATGCAAGTTATTGAATAATTCCAAGTTACAGAGCAACAACTGTGGAAGACGATCTACTGAACAGACTGATGGAGCACTCCCACTATACCATTAGATAATATTTCCCTTAATCCTAAATCAAGTAAGGACCCAGACAGTGACCTGAGACATGGAGTACTAAGCAAGCTCCTAAACATATTTCAAATGTTACTTAAGAAAAAAAAAGTTAAAAAAAAACTATATATATCCAACATTCATATCTTAGACATACACACAATCCTTTCTCAGTAGCAATTTGTTCTGGGAATTTCCACAGCTGCATTCTTCTGTAGCCTAATCCCTAAAGCCAAAGCACATTCCAAAGCAGATATGAAGAAATAAATTAACATTGCATGGTTGATATTTTCCTCTCTCTCATATATATGTGTAGAAAGGAATACAAAAGGAAAACTGAAATTAACAATGCAAAAGAATGATTTAACAGAAAAAGGTGGAAAATGCCTGCCTTTTTTCAACAGTGGTTGTGTTGGAGTCTTTCCATCCTCGTCCTCCTCTGGAAGATTTTTAAAGATACAAAATAAAAAGGTTAATTTTCTTTGTGATGTTAATGAAAGTACTACCAGTGTAAGTTAAAAAAAAACAAAACCAAACAAAAACCACAAAAAAACCCCCAAAACCACAAACAAACAAACTAGGAAATAAGGATGTAGAAATAAATGTATTTTCATTTCATACAAAGAAAAGTAGACAAATGCAGTCTACTAGATACTGCTATTTGTACTTAAAAAAAATCCCAACAAACAAACATGAATCACATTGCTCACTTCACTATTAAGTCACTCCAAGCTTTTACTTTAAAAAGATAAGTTCGTCATTGTCACGTCGAAGTATCCTGCATAATTTATGTCTGTTATCATGCATATAATATTCTAGTCTGAGGTGAAAAAGCCTTCACAAATTCAGCAGCCTTCAAATCACACAATACATAGATGTGTGGCATGATTCTCAAACAGTTTTTAATGCCTGTCAAACTCATTAACAAAGAAAATCCATTGCAGGTCATTGCTTGCCACCTGCTTTATTTAGGGGACTACACATGAAAGATTTTTTACATACTGGTAAGCTCTGAACCAAAGTACTTATTAGTCCTGATTAGGTATCAACCTCTAGAAAAGCACAACACACTTCTTTGCGTTCCACAGACACAAAAATCCCTTAAATAATTCCTTCGTGAGTGGAGAGAGGAACTGAAAAGGAAGTGAGAGAGAAAAGTGAGAACTCAATTTTCATTGCTAACTAGGTAGTTACCTTTATGTAGAGTGGGAGTTCTTTCACTAGCTGATGGAGCAAAAGCTATAGAAGTGTCTGTTTCGGGTTTCTTGCTATAATCCACTTTTACAATGACATCCTTGGTACATGGAGATTTTTCTTGGGATGACAGTAACTCTTCTTTGAGAAAGCAAAGAAACACATTATAAACCACTTAATTGTTCCAAACGGTAACAATAGAGCTATGTGACTATATTGAGATGGTTCAGGTTCACAGTTGGTTAAACTGCACTGCAACTGTTATGCTATGGCAAAGAGGTGAGGGGGAGGGGGGGGTAAGGCAGAAAGCAAAACCAGAAAAATCTTTTATGAACTGCTTCTGAGCATAGAGGCTTCTTCTCTGAGCAAAGCTGTAATTTCCTGCTACTTCCTTCCCAGATTTTGGGGGTTGACACAGGCTAAATATCAGACAGAGCAAGCTAATACTGAGGAAGTACAACCAGGGGAAAAAAAAATTACTTGCTGAAATATTTTTCATTTCCACTCTAACTCCAAGAGGAAGATGTGCTTGTGATCAGAGCAAATATGTCTCACAGCCAAATTTTTTTTCCAGGTTTGGGTTCAGTGGAGCTAGTTGGTAGCTGTCAGAGCTAAAGGAAACTCAGTCCTCTGTGCATACTACAACTCTCTTCTGACGCCTTGGTGTTTCATTTCCTGGTCTTCTTAGCAGTGTTGTTTTCACACTGCAGGTTCACTCCTTGCTGTTTCTCATCTTCATCTGCTGTCTTGCACACACTGCCAGGCTGTCTGTCTCCAAATCTTAAGACATTCACATTTTTCTATTGAAAGAACAACCTCTTTCAGGATGCCCCCCTACAGAGCTTGTGTCACAAGTATTCTTTCTCATAGTAGCAACAAACAAATTGAACATTATCAATTCAGTAGGTTGTTGCCACCAAAGCTTAGGTTTTTTTTATTATTCTGCTAAAATAAACTACAATTACATCATTTAGCTTAAGACCACTACCTACAAAGCATAACCAAGTCTTCTACACTGAAAATAGAAAACTTTTCCAAATTTGATATAGACTACTACTAAGATCTCCAAACTAGTGTGTGTAGGGGTTGGCGACCCACACCAGACCGAAAGAATTCTTGGATAATGCAATACCTGTTATTTTCATGATTTTTAGGCTTGGTTACCAAATACTTGAAAACAATCTGGCATCCTCTTTAATCAGTTTTAATAAAATAATTAATCCTTGGAAAGCAACTACATACAGTCTATAAATACAGAAAACTTGGAACGTACAGAAAACTCAAATTTCTGTTGATGAACATGGGTTATTTGTATTTTACATTTCAGACCTGGTAACCTCTGTGATTTTTATTCTACAAGAAGTGTGGTTGTGGTTTTTTTCTTTTTTTAAGTAACTTACCTTCATTTAATATTTTTCAGAAAGCAGTATTAAAAGGGAATTAGAACAGATATTCACTAGATGAAACAATATAAATCTTACCTTGGCCCTGAAGGTGAGAAATGTCAAGGCCTTCCTTTAGGCGAATGACAACTACACCATACTGAACATCAAAGGCATCACTAAACAAAAGGAAGAAAAATATCACAGATTGTTTTGGCTTGGAAGGGACTTTAAAGATCATCTAGTTCCAACCACCCTGCCATGGGCAGGGACACCTTCCACCACTAGACCAGGTTGCTCACAGCCTCATCCAGCCTGGCCTTGAAGACAGCAACGGGGTTGCCTCATCCCGGGCCTTGAAGACAGGGATGAGGCATCCACAGCTTCTCTGGGCAACTTGTTCCAGTGCTTCAACATCTTCCCAGTGAAAAATTTCTCGCTGACACCTAATCTAAACACTCCGTTTTCAATTTAAACCCATTACCCCTTGTCCTGTCTCTACAGGCCCTTGTATGAAGTCCCCCCCCAGCTTCCTTGTAGGGCCCCTTCAGGTACTGGAAGGCTGCAATAAGGTCTCCCTGGAGCCTTCTCTTCTCCCGGCTGAAAAGCCCAATTCTCACAGCCTTTCTTCATAGGAAAGGTGCTCCAGCTCTCTGATCATCTTCCCAGCCCTTCCCTGGACTCTCTCCAACTTGTCAATATCCTTCTTATGTTGAGGCTTCCAGAGGTGGACGCACTACTCCAGGTAGTGCTCACCTCTCATGACAGCAGAGTAGAAAGGAAGAATCACTTCCTTCAACTTATTTTAAAACTTTTTCCTTTCCAAAAGGACCTACTTTACACACCCTCTTTGAACAAATTCCAGTAATTAAACACTGCCATTTAAACTCCCAAATCATAAATCTGTATTGCAATTCCAGTTTCAATTCCAAACTTTCACCTGCATCAGTGACTGAACAGCACAGCCTGAAAAGTAACACAGAAAAAGAATATCTGTTCCCTTTCCTCCCACTTTCCTCTAAATAAACAGCAGTTAAATAAAAGTAACAAAGAGCTCTGTCAAGCTCTGCATAGATGAACACAAGATACACAAAGAAATATCAATTTTTATCTCCCCCATCAATAAAGGGATTTGAGTAGATCTGAGAACAGAAAATTTTCTACATTATTCCAAAACGTTTGGGTATTAAGAACACCCACGAAGTCATAATTTAGAATCAAATTGGCTGTAAGTTTGCTATAATGTGCCTACTTCCATTATACCTGATGGAGAAGGAACTCGCTTCTTTAATAACTGAAGTAAGAGGGGAAACTTCATGATTGTATAAACAAGCAAAAAGCCTGAATAAAGGACTGAGTAGAAGTGTAATAAAATGAAGGACAAATACACCTCCAAGATATAAGACGGAAAAAAACATGCATGTAACCATAGCATACAGTTAGCATTAGTCATTAATGATCAGTCCAATATAAATTTCTCATTACAAACCACCATAAATCAGGAAACTCCCCCCCATGTCATTTCCACAGATATAAATTTTTCAAGATTTTTTTCACCCACTAAACACTTCTCTTCAGAAGTAGTAAGACTTGATTAAAAGTGTTCAAAGTATCAACATACTCTATAATAAATGAAAAATTGAGGTCAATTTAAGAAAATGTTTTGCCCATCAGTGAAAATTTTAAATTAATTATTTGTTAGAATTGTACAGATTAGACGTATTCCTATTGTATGCTTCAGAAACTTTCAACTTTCCAGAGATTTTCGAGAAATACGCTTGACCTAGTGTTATTACCTCCTGAGGTTTCTCTTTTGGGATGTGGGGAACCACATGACTTGTTGGCCTTGACAGATCTTCCAGCAAAAGCCATTCCAAAATAAAATAGGAAAGAAGAAAAAACAAGAACTAACCAACATTTACTTATTTTTCACTGCACTTGGTGCTCCTGCTTTTCTCGTAAGGAGCTAGGAGGGTGGGAGATGATGACTTTTTCTCCCTTTCTCATCTCCGTTTGTAATACCCCACCCTCTCTTTCTTTCAAATGCACAGTTAATGAGTGGTGTAAAGCACAAATGAACTGGGTTAAGTAGTACACAAGGAAAATAAAACCACGTTTGTGTAAGTCCAAGAAGTAAATTTTGGTTTCTTAAGTGTTTGTAGCACAAACACTTACAAAATTCTTCAAAATTCTTAAAAAAATTCTACTAAATTTTTCAGCCTGAACCTGCCTGCCTTTCAGTACTGTCAAATTATACTGGGATTTCCTTTCCCATCTCCTTGATTTGGGTGTCAGTGCTGTGTATCTTCTAAGTAAAATACTTCTTGTATACAAGATCAAAGTTTAAGGAAGATGGAATTTCTCCATGAGTTGATTCATTCTCTACAACGCAATCTGTACAGAAGTGTAGGAAAACCCCTGCTTTCAAAACAAACTATGCTTTAAATAATTATATGTGTGTCAGTAGACTGACACATAAGCCACTAATTCCACCTCTAAATACAGTGTCTTAAACCCCAGACCACTGCCACAACTCTTTCTGTGCACAGAAAGAGCTATTATACAGAAATCTAACCTGTTTAAACTCTTAATGACTTGCTTATTAATTTCCATATCAGAAAAAAGCTAGGGTATTGAAAACTATTAGATCAGCAATATGGGGAGTCTGAGTCACCTGAGAGAGACTTCATACAACTAAGACCATCTTGACTTATTGGCAAATGTACTAAACAGGAACGCAAGAGCTACACCTCTGCATTTTGTACTTACTGAAATAAATTGATATAGTTTTCAACATCTCTCATGTCACCTTGTCTCCAGTTTTTCTTAAATCCAACCACAAGGATGTTAGGTCTCATTCTACCCAGACCAGCAGCCTAATGAGAACCAAAAATATTTAAAAGAAAAATGTTATTGAAACAATTAAGAGTTCTGTTCTTTTCTTAAGCAGAAACCAAAGTGTTTTTCAAAGTTTTAAAATAATTTTGTAAATTGAAAATACTTTGAAGTATAAAAACACTTATAATTCTTATATTCATCTTCACTACTTAAAAATATTTCAGAGGTGTACCTGCATTAAGTACTGTCCTCCATCCCTCAAATCCTCTGCTTGCACTGGTGCATAGAAAGCCTTCATTTTGTTTTTAATTAACCATCGCTGATATTTAGCCAAATCAGTTGACAGTTCCTTCATGGCCTGCCTCCGAGGACCCTTTTGAAAATAAGGGAATAAAAAGAGGAGAGGGAACAAGAATTATGAATGTATAAAGCTCTTCACACACAATTTCTTTTTTTAATTTCACTGCTGGAATCTGATTCAAACTTGAAGAACCCCAAATCATGCTTCCACACTATCAAAAAATCTCAAACCAACAAAATAGCAGGCATTATCAGCACCTAAGAGCAAACTAGATTCTCATTTTTAGGAGGAGGGTTGCTCAAGCTTTAGCAATCTTGTTCCTGCAGAGCACTTGCCCAGCAGGTGGCACAAGCTTGTCCTCCAAAGCACAGCGTTGTTTTTTTTTTAAAAGGAAAGGGCTTTGTAATGAAGCATACACAGATATAAGATGACTTAGTATTAGGCTTTATGGGAATATTTGTTTCAAGCAGTACAAGTGTGCCTCTGTGTGTACATAATCTTGAACAAAAAGCCTTTAGCACAGTAGTCTCGCTTCTGTTGGTTTATGTTACAGTCAAAGTTACCACCCCTTAAATGCTTTCTTTTTATTACTTCCATCAGGACAAATCATTGTGTTCCTCCTAGACATCAATACGCAGAATACAGAACGAGGTATAGTCAAAAACACAGTAGCCCAGCTTTTGCAAAAACTATATAGTTTGAAAAACGATACAGACTCTGACCAAATAATCTGTTTGCGAAGAATAAGGTAGTCTCACCCTTGTAGGAAAGCAATTTTAAATAGATAGGATACACCTCCAGAAAAATCTCTAAATCAGAACTGCTTTGCTATAAGGATGACACAATCTTTTCTTTTCACTACAGCCCTACCGTTGAAAGACAGTAATTCCATGTGTGATATCTTACCCCTCTAGTATTAGCTCCTGCCTTTTGCACTCACTTAAATTTTAAGTCTGTAGAGATGGGTTAAAAGAATTATATTTTCTAAGACAAGACTGGCCAATATCTGCTTAACAAAATGTATATTCTGAGGATTGCATTAACTTGATTTGCTCTTACCTGTTCATTAGATAAGAAACAAGTAATATTTAGTAAGTGTGATAAATTTAAACATATTTAAGAGCAATCAATCTTTGTATTTAAAGTTACACTTTGCTTAAATTCTCTTAGTGATGTGAGAGAAAAAAGTTTGAACTTAAAATATGAAGCTAAACTGCACAACCCTAATAATCTAAAACATATTTAGCAATGTTTATCAGAGAGGTAACAGCCTCTGCAGGTAAGGAAAGTTTTGGTACAGATCATAGTTATGACAGCCACCTTCTGAGTTAAGAAGAGTCATGACAAGCATGACTTGGAAGAACAGTTAGTTACTTGAAGCTTGCTTCCTTCCCCCCAACACAAAACCTCTACAGGTCTGCCATAGAAGATTTTTTTTTTTTTTTTTTTAAAGCAGTAAGAACTGCTGAAATTAGGAACTTGCAGAAGAGCCCTCACATATCCCCAATACCAAAAGACCCCACAGCTCAGATCCTGACAAAAAAACAGGGAAAGTTAGTGAAATAGTATGGGCTGGGAAGAAAGGGAACAGGAAATGAAATACTTGTCACATTATTGTTTCACCTGCCAATGAAATTAATCTGATAACTGAAGTAATTAAAAACTAATTGAAAGGTTAAGAACAATTTTTAACTATTAGCTAAACAGATACTGGATTTACTGCTCAAGCAGGTTTATTTTAAACTATGTTTTGCAAGAAATCTACACAGGAATCAATCTCCCTGAACCAGTAACACTGAGAGGAAATCTAGCTGTATACTGAACATCATTTTGACCAACTGCTCTATCCCAAGTGTGAGAAAGTACATGAGACTGTGTTCCTACAAAGCTCACTGTATTCCTACAAAGCTTCCTCAGCATTTAGGCACCAAATGATCAAAGGTACTAATTCTGCAAAGTTTCCCCTATACGTAGTAGTATAACCAACTGGAATAGTGATGACCCATACATCTCTCTTTTTGCACTTCTTAACATCTAATGATGCTTTCACTAAAAAACTACAAAAACAAAACACCAAAACAAACAAACAAACCCCACACACATAAACAGGAACTACAGACAAAAATCAAGTAGGTAAAAAAATCCCCACCCAAACCCAAAAAAACGCACACACACCAAAAAAAACCCAAAAACCTGAAAAAACCCAAGGTAACTTTAAAGTAAAGGTAGAATAGACTTACCATGTGTACATGGCCACAGATCATCAAGCCCACATTCTTGGTGAAAGCATGGACAAGGTGAAGCAAAGCTGGACGTGCATTTGGAGCACCTGTCATAATTAAGCACTGAGGTCTAAAATTGTGAATAGATGAAGGAAAAAAAGTTGGAATTAATTTTATCAGGAACTGTGGGGTGGTTTTTTATTAACAGCAAAGGTTTTTTTCCAAATACTGGCCATAAGAACATAAGAGGTAGTAACCTCATCTACTTCTACAAGACTATGTTAAATTAAGTAAAGATCAGCAGACTTATGATTAATTGGTTCCAAACTTTACTGAACCCACTAAATCTGAAAATTTAGACAAAGAGATCAGAAACAGATTTTGGACAACACCAGGACAGAGGGATGAGTGTCCTCCCCCATTTGTAAGTCACATGCCTTTGCATTTTCTAGCTTAGATTCTTCTGTGTCCAACAGAAAAAAAGGTAATCATATTGGTAGATGGGGTTTTTTTCCCCTCAAGGACTGTAATTCAGAAGATAGAGCCACAGAACTGCAAGTAAGTTATACTAGAGAACTTTCTAATCAATTTTTAAAGATGAACTGTCCAGACTTAGAATTCATTTCAGGAGTTAATTTTTTTTATCATAAGAAACACGTAAAGTCATTTGTCTCAATCTGTATAGCAGCTGCAGTTCATTTTCCATATTACACTCACAGAAAGGAATCATAGAATCAATCATTTAAATAAGAAAAGACCTAAAAAACAAAAGATCATTGAGCCCAATCATTAACCTAGCTCTGCCAAGTCCACAGCTAAAACACGTCCCTAAGCACCACATCTACAACTCTCTTAAATACCTCCAGAGATGGTGACACAACCACCTGCCTGGGCAGCCCATTCCAGTGCCAGACAACCCTTTCAGTGAAGAAATTTTTCCTCATGTCCAATGTAAACCTCCCCTGGTGCAACTTGAGGCCATTTCCTCTTTTCCTATCAGTTGTAACTTGAGAGAAAAAACCAACACCCACCTCTCTGCAACCTCCTTTCAGGTAGTTGTAGAGCAACAAGGTGTCCCCTGAGCCTCCTTTTCTCCAGGCTCAACAACCCCAGTCCTCTCAGCCATTCCTCACAGAACTTGTGCTCCAGACCCTTCACCATCTTTGTTACCCTTCTCTGGACATGCTCCATCACTGCAATATCTTTCTTCTAGTGAGGTGCCCAAAACTGAACACAGTATTCAAGGTGCAGCCTCACCAGTGCCAAGATGGCCCAACTGGTGACAATCAGTGACAATCACTGTCCTAGTTCTGCTGGCCACACTGTTTCTGATGCAGGCCAGGATGCCATTTTCCTTCTTGGCCACCTGGGCATGCAGCTGGCTCATATTCAGCCGCTGTCAACTAACACCAAGAAGCTTTCCAGACACTCGTCCCAAAGTCTGTAGTGTTGCATGGGATTGTTGTTGCCCAAGTGCAGGACTCAGCACTGAGCCCTGATGAACCTCATACAGTTGGTCTCAGCTCACTGATCCAGCCCACCCAGATTTCCCATGTAGAGCCTTCCACCCTCAAGCACATCAAGACTCTCAACCTGGCATTCTCTGCAAATTTATAATAATAATTATAATAATAATTTGTTGTTTCTTAACAATAAATACTTAACAGCTTTTTTTTAGAATGTATCTAGTAATCAAAAAATTTTGCCCATAGGTTAGAAACCAGTAACAGGCCAAAACCAGTTCTTCTAAAGACAATGCGCTTAAAGCTGGCATCTCTATGTACTTAGGATAAAAAAAGAAGTTTAAAACTCAGAAAGTTATATACTAGCTTACCAAACAAAAGAACTGAAATACTTCCAGCATCCTAATAATCAGCAATCCTAAATAGGTACTGATCAGCAGAGTCAGCAGAGAATTCATTTACTGTATCAGCACAAGCAAAAAGTTACACTTGGTAACTAAAAAGCTTGTTTCTACATCAAAGTTTGCAACCCAAAATAGACTTAGAGTAGACAGAAGTGAAGCTGCAACTCTAATTAGTTAGGTATTGCCAATTATTTAACGCCAGACTTTAGATTTGCTTTAAAGAAAGTTTAAAGAAATTTCTGGATGTAGACTCTTTTTTCCTGTTAACAATGCAGCTTGATGTAATAGGTAAATACAGTGTTTGTAAGTAAATCAGGGGTTTCAATGTGACATTAGGATTTAGGACTTCAGAAAGAAGAGCTGTTTCATAATCAAACTTGAAGTTACAGAAACAGCCAACTCTTTCCAGTTTGGAAGTGGAAAGCCCATTAATTTCCATATTAACACATTCGTAATTTAGTTTTACTGTTGTATTTATGGAGGTTATGGTGGTACCTATCATGATTGCTTGACAGATAATTTCAACTGTCTGTATATATACAACATACTCATTGTAAGTATGTATCCTGTACTTCTTCAAGAAAATTTAGTCATTTCCAAGAAAGGCTATGGGCCAAAACTGGAGTATTTTCCCAACTCACAGGAACTATCATAGATCTTTTCTTAGAAAAACTGTGTTGCTGCAATGTTCTGAATGCTGAACTTAACCTCAAAGAATGGCACCTATATCAAAAATCCCTCCCTGAACCCACTCCTTATTAAGGACACAAAGCCTTCCTTTGTACACAACAGAACATTTCAGTAGCTAGGTTCTCTTGCTAATACAACAAGCATAACAGAATAATACACTTCTTAGGCTGCAAGGGACGATAGAGGTTTGCTAAACTGTCAACACCATAAATCCTGTGCTGGGCATAGGTACCATGAAGGAGGTAACTGCTCTGTTTGAAAAGAGACAAGTCAACAGAACATCATCCTTGAAAATACTCAAAACTTGACTGGATACGGCCCTGAGCAATCTGATGTAACATTAAAGCTTGATCTGACTTTGCAGCTGGATCAATGGTGAGTTAGTTGAGTCAGGGATTGGACAAGACCACATGGTAAAGTCATATTCAATATATGATTCTATTTATTTTTAGGAACTAGTGTAAGTCAATACTTCCTTAAAAATTTTTTGAAGCACCTTTCTTCTACAATAGCTTATTCCAGAAAAGTGGCATAAATACTACAGAAAACTGCCTCCTTGAGTAGGACCTTCCTGAGTAGTCATGTTGGCAGGCTACAAATCAGTTCTCTTCTTCAGTTTTGTAAATAACACTCATGTAGCTTATCTGCCATTACTGAAGTGCAGTGGGAGAATACGAATACATCTTGTGTGAAACAGCTGGTGTTGAGGCCAACACCCATAATATACACATTTTAAGGATTATAGGTTAAATCAGTTCTATCCCAAGTATGTGGACTGAATGCTCATTAGCAGTTTGGAGCATTATCTTCCAATTCCATTTCAATGAGGAATGCAAATCACAGTTCATGATGCAAACCATGAGGCCTCTAATAATAAGCAGGCGTCATCTATGGACTTGTTTCTAAAGTGCACTCTTAATCAGAAATTAAAAGCTAACATAAGTATGTACAGAGGATGTCCATGGTGTGAAATTCAAAGTTATTATAAACCAGGGTAGGTGAACCAGCATTTAATGGAAACCATGAGAGCAAACATTGTGACAGTACCCTACTGAATACATAGAATTAAATTTTTATGCCTTTAATATTAACTGTTACCTAAAGTTTTTCACATGATCTTCCACTCCTGAGAGACGAATAGAATGCTGTAATGCATTCAAGTAAGTCAAAGCTTGCGTTGAAGATCCCCAGTTCACATCTGTTGGAAGATTTGAAGTTTCAATATTTTATTTAAAGCTGTCCATTGTAAAACTACATGATCGCACCATTGAATACCAACTGAAAACAAAGATTTAAGCTACATATTGTTACATTCTACACAATGCTAGTCAATTAATCCTACAGCTAAACAGGCAATTATATTTAAAGACAGTATTTCTGCAGAAGTTCTAGCAAACAAGTTTTGTATTTTACAATTACAGAAGAAAGAAAGTTTTTTCCCCAATATGCCCAAGATTTTGACAACTTTAGAGTAAAAAAAATAACACCAGAAAAAAAAATGCCATGATTACTTATTTTATATCAAAGAAAAAAGTAATCTCAAAACACTGCCTTAAATACTTTAAGTGAGAAAATACTAGATTAAGCAGTTCCTTTTAGATCACTATAAGGAAATGAAAGCAAAGATCCCAATATCCTCTTCATTTGTTCTCATATACATCTATTGATAGCTACAATGAATTTATCATCCAAGCACTTCATAATCTTCACAGCCCAAGATGTAGGGATTTGCCTATTATCAACTTCTGGAACACCTTTTGATCTAGTGCTGCTCTATCTTGCACAGTGCTCTTAGAAAAAATAAAGTCTATAAATTATTGTTCATAGCTATAGGAATGGCTTACTGAAAAAAACCACCACTACTCAAATCGTTTTTCAAATTGGAAAGTTAAGGGAGAATCCTCTTCACTTCCTATCAAAACATAACATGCTTTCTTAGTGCTTTTGTTGCTGTGACTCAAGCTCTTTCCATATGCACCTTTTCTTCCCATTTTCAAATGTTTATGTCTAAGTGCAAGGCATGCATCTTGATAATCTGGGAGGAGGGGGAGTAACAACAGTGACTATACAGGCATAATTACATTTCATTACAACTAAAAAGCCTGAAACAGAAGTTTGAACTAGCTGGCCAAATGGAAGTAAATTATCTTTTTTTATTTTCCCCTAAAGGCCATAATTTTTTCCCTCCTTCTACATCCCTCTTCCCACCACTGCAATCAAAAGCAGCCCCTATACATACCTGGTTTCTTGTAAGTGACATAAATGTACAGTCCAAGAACTATGACATATGTTAGAAGTGCTGCCCACCAATTGATGACAAACATCACAATACAGCACAGGATAGCTCCAACAAGAGAAATCCACATATTGTAGTATTTGAAAGCAGGGCGCCAACCTAGTAAGAATATAATTCAGAGGATAAAAAGAGGGGGGAATTTCATTTAACCACTACTCCAAGAGAAGGAAGGTGCTATTCCTCTTTCACTTCCCTAGTGTTCTGCATCATGTTGCATGTGAATGTGTGACATTTTGAGTAACGTGCAAAATAAAGACCACCTGCCAGTTACTCCTGGCCTGGAAGATGAAACATATTAACAGAGAAATCCAAAGAAGACAAAAGGGTGGTTCTTGAATGCCAGATCCTGAATTAGCAAGAAAGCTTGCTTCAAGAGTTTCTGAATAAAAACTGAATTATCTTGTGTTCCTTCAGCTAAGATTAATGCTTCCCAAGTTCTACCGGATCAGTCAGTCCTCAAAATTTCAGAATATTCAAGTACACAGCATGTTATGCCTGTAATTCAAATGTGCCATGAAAGTCACATAGATATTTAGTAACTAAATTAAACTAAACATTAATTTATATTAATAACTTTTAAGTTGTATTTATGTATAGAGAAACTGCAGGCTGAACTCACACCCCCAAAATGTAGTTCCTACCTGGAGATTTTGCAAGAGAAGCATGGAATACAGAAAAGTTAATCAAGGCATATGAGGCCAAGAAGAAGTTAGATATAATTGGAGCGATGACATTCAGTTCAGCTGTAAAACCAAAAACAAAGCAGTCTTATAAAACGTATCATCCGATTACTTCAGAGATTCCAAGTAAAAATTCTGCTACAGCCTTACTGTCTGATGTACTCTAAGAAACAGCAGCTTGTCGTTTCAGTTAAACAGACTGAGCTATTACCTTAATGGTCTCTTTACTAAGTTATGTGCAAACAATCAAGAAGTTTAACCTTCAGTTTTAAAAATATAAACATTCTTCCACACTACCAAGTGTTCCAAGACTGCCACTTTTGAAGCACCACATACTTTCTCAAAATATTTCATTGAGAAAATTTCTTTCCCACCATGGCTTGATCTGAGGAGTATCAGAAGAAGTAAGTGCACCATTAATACATTTCCAGTACGTCTCTAGCTCAATTCTCAAACAGCAAAGAACATGATACTAGTAAGCTCAAGAGACAATCAACTATGGTGAATGGCAATAGCAGGCAAAATTAGTGTGAGCAATGTGACAAACATGTGCATCTGCCTGCACTTTAAATGAAAAGCTGCACCAATGGTACTGGTATAGTGCATTATTACAGACCAATATCATCACAACAGTGATGAGTACACCCTCTTTCATGCAAGAGATGGAACAACATAATGTTCTCTCTTTCTTGTGGTAGCATGGTACAAAACATTTACATGTGTACTCTCACCATCAAAAAAAAGGGACCAAAATGCAGAATGTGCTGTGCTAGCCTGCAAGTTTCTACTTGCTGTAAGCAAGCTTCCAGTCAGAATGCTGCAGTAAAGCCATCATGGCTATACCTATGGCTTAAGCAGACTTGGTGGAAGGATGAAAGAACAAACTGGGAAAAAAAAGTTTAAAAGCACTTGGTACAAGACTCATGGATGGACACAGCACAATTAGTTTGCCATCTACCCAGAACACATGTGATTCTATCTAGACTATCTTTACCTTTAACTACACCAGCACTATTCTCTACTGTTCGTAATTTAACAGAAAAACACGCTTCAAGAAGTATTGTTCATGCAAGTCTGCCATTTAATGAAGCTGTCTGCAATTACTAAAATTCTGAAATAAACTTTCATCTTCACAAGATATAACATCTATGTCAAGCAAAAGATATATTTTTATTGATTGATATTACCTAAAGACAGATACCTGGTGTTATTAAGAAAAGTGCAGTATTGCTACAGTTCAGTTCAAATGTATTGTGGTTTTAGACAGAGTTCTATCTAGAAGACAGGAGAAAGTAACCATCAAAATAAACAGATTTAGAATGCTGGCTTAGAATTAAGCTGTGCATCAGACCTCTAGGACACTTTCATCAAGTCATGATGTGGGATAGAAAGCTCTGTAAAGGACAAAAAGATACTGAGATTCATTGTAATTTCAAACTAACCAATTAGTATGAAACCAAGAGCAATTAAAAATGTTAGAAGATATCCTCTCAGTGGTTCATTGTTTTTCCCATAGCCTTTTGCAAACATCTGAAATCCTGGATAAATGTTGTCCTTACACAAAGCCTAAGGAAAAAATGAAATTCAAAAGTCAGTATGCATTTTATTCAAATTCTTAATGCCTTCTAAAGCTGTTTTCCACTTCGTATCATCTTCCTGAAGGAAGGTTTATAGCCACCACATACTAATTACATTTTCAGTAGTCTTTGCATCCTGACATTTTGTATTATTGATACTCTATACTTCAGTAATTTCTATCTGTAAGAACAAACTTTGCTCTTCTGTAAGTAAGTGACTGTTTCATTCTACCAGTGTCTTACAATGACAAATAGTCTTTTTTTAGAGACTGTTTTCTGAGAAAAGTAGAAAGTTTCCTCAATGTATACACTAGTTCTCTGCATCATTACTTGTGCTTCTATTCTGTAACAAAATCCCTTCTATGTTTGACTCCCTACTGAACTTGTGGAAAAGATGGTAACACTAAAGTTTTACCCAATTAAAGAGAACTTGTAAGACCAAGAATAAGATTAAATGGTTAAAAAGATGGTAAAGCAAAATGCATCCAGCAACACCACCAAAACCAGCGTATTCTCTGATGATTAAGATTCCACAGCTAAAAGCTCTACTTCATGCTGTCTCCTGTGATTACTTTGAGAAATGAACTGATCTGATCTTTGTATGTGCTCCACTGTTACAACAAAAAAAGTCTAATGGAGTTTGTTGATTGCTGTAATGTTAGTAACACCACAATGAATCTCAACTAATCAGAAACTCATGAGATCTAGAACAACTTATAGTCTAGCTACATTTAGTAACAGTAACACACTGGTTTTCCTTTCTAAGCAACAGGTAAACATTAGATCAACATACTGATGTCAGCTGGTACAAATCCTGATGTCAGTATGTCAGAGTAGCCTTCCAAAAGTTCTGATGCAAAAGTTAAATTATTCTTTAAAAGATTATGGTTTGCTTCCACGCTTACCTGGAAGATCTTAGGTGCACTCACAAGAGATGCTAATGCAGAAGATAGGGTGGCTGAAAAAATACCTGCAGAAATCAGTGGTGCAAATCCCGATACCATGCTCATTACCTGAAAACAAAATAATTATTTCAAAAGAATTAGAAAAAGTATACTATATAAATGGCAACATTTATATATTATTTTTATTAATATTATTTTATAATATTAATAGTTATTA